ATAAGCATGAGCAACAAATTGAGCTCAAAACGTCATGTATTAAGTAATGCTATTTGCAAGTTGGCATTCATCGTGAACTGATGTCAGTTGGAGGACCGCTGAAAACCTGGGAGTAATGAACAGCTGTTTCTTCTTTGTGTGGAGTTCTTCAGCAGTGCAAACTGATGACCCCATCAGAGATCGGACTCAGGTTCTGTGACCAGTACGTTACCATTGAGCCACTGTGTCGGAATCCAGTGGTGCATATTTCCTGCTTCTGTCAGTTCGCGATATAGCGCGACCATCAGCCAATATCATCGTTGAGTATTTGTCTTCACGTCCACTCGGTTTGCCCCACTAATCACGACTTCTCATTGGAACTTCAGGAATCACCTCTCGAAAGTAGTCATCAATGAGCACTAGATCAATTTAATTTAGAGGATTTGTTTATGAACTGACAGAAGTAGGGAATGTGAACCATTGAACTCCGATTCAGTGGACCTTGAAGGTCGTGAATTCGACCCCTGGTTGGGTCGTGAGTACACACTGCTGAGTGGTCCCACACTAGGACGAGGCAGCTGTCTAGTGCTCTCAGGCTCCCACTGTATCTGCAACTGACATCAGTCCATGATGAATACCAACTTGAGATCAATAAATCCCCACCATCCCCCGAATTTAATTAATGCTGTTCTTTTCTGTGGTTTTTATGGTTGCCAATCTTGTCACAATGCAACTGTCAATTTACTCGGTACCACGGACAAATTGAAGTTTAAGTGAATGAAACCAGTGGTCTCATACTCTTTTCAAAGAAAGTTGTTTAAATTTACTGTTATCCATAAGCCTATACAAAACTATATGGTAGACTATTGTTATTAGAAGGAGCAAGACGAGTGGTCGATCATCTACCAAGAATTACATATAAGTCATATTCTTGAAGATCTACTATCAATGCGTTACTGTGGCAGAGTTTTGGGGAATCGATAAATGCTGAGGAAGACATTTTTACTCAAGTTTGGATTATCTTTTTGAAGTGATAATTGAAATGTCCCTACGTTAAGCCGAGTCTTGCACGTAGGACCTTTTCAATATGTATTCACAAGTTCATTCGCTCCTTTTAAAGCTCTATTGACCTAACAAAGTATGCTTTATCCGAAAACTAGCGAAAGATACTACTATTGAACAGCTTGAGCAGTTACCAATCACTCAAACTGACTATTATTTCACCAGCCAGATCTAAACACTGGACGGCCGTTTCGTTTGTTTGGAGCCGAGGTCATCTGTGGTGTACACGGACAAATTCAGCTCATAGAGCCGAATTAGTTCAGGTGTGAGAAATGTCAACTTGGATCGTATAATTTGTAGATTGATTATCCTATTTTTTCAAGACATTTTGGAGCACCACCTTGCTGCTTATCAGGAGGAGAGGAAAAATCAGTTGGTGGCTAAATGCTTGAACATTTGGTCAGTTCCAGCCACTGAGGTTATCTTTTAATCCTTGTATCTAAAAATGTGTATGAACAAAACAAGTGCAGTATCTTATTCTGCATGGTATTTAATTCCCTTTGTTTCACTTCACCAGTTTCATAAATAACAATATTTTACACCATTGTAACTTTCATTCTTGTGTTGGTTTCTCTCTTTGTATTCCCTTTAAGTATAAGGTAGATATTGAAATGATACATTCGCTATCTATTAACGATTTATGTTTTGTTGAATTCTTAATTTTTGCTTCGCCTAACATTCTATTACGTAACCTTCCTTCCCAACTAGACCCAAATTTTCTTCTCTAAATCACATTATTGATGCTGTCTCAAACTTCCATTCAATAATCAGTTGTTACTTGTCTCCAATACTTATAAACCACGCTCCAAACTACACTTTAGGGCTTTCAATGTCTTCACCCTCCGTAAAATCGGTCAACATGGTTCACTATTCAAGACTAACATCTAGGGCCATAGATTTGTGCTGTGTTTGTGAGACATACATACAGGTCTCAAGTGTGGTTACTCACCCAAGTTCACTCAGCCAGTATGGTGAATCCGCACAGTTCACCCTTCGGATTTCTCGGGGTTCGATGACCAGTTCTCTCGGTCTTGCAGTCATCGATATAGCACTAAGTTTCAAGGCAGAGGCTGTACTTCTCGAGTGAGTCACAGTCTACAGTCATCTATAGGCTGTTCGACCGAATGATAGAGTGAGCTGAAAAGAAGGATGGAACTCGCCGTTGTCACTTTGTAGTCTCTGCTTCGCCACTCATTGACTGCAACTTGGAATAAATGAAGTATGACTTCTACCGAGAACTGTTCGAACGTGGTTGTTATAGCAGATGCTTTCGGTGCTAGTCAGGCAGAAAGGTACTTGGGTGACATTTTCGGAATCCTAGCTGGATGAAAGGATGACGGTAATCACCTGTTACATCTGTGATCAGAAAAGTATCCATTTCTGGCTAATATTTACTTCGAACACGCTGAGCCATTGTCTGAAGTGGCGTCCATCGACCTCAATAGTGAACACAGGTATGCCATATTACTGTCTGTTATAGATGGAGAGGATCGGTAGAAGATTGCCATTCCTTTTAGAGCAAGTGTTTGTATGGTGACCATGCGTTGTTTCGAGCTTGTGTGTATGCCTGTGCCTAAATGGACGTGGAAAAACTATGGCAACAAGACAGTTGCGAATGCATCTCGACAATGAGAGCAATAAGGTCGCTTTCAGGGAGAAACTGGCTCGATAGCTACCAAGGATGAACATGATTATTCTGAAGAAGTTTGTCGCCATCTCCAGTTTGCTGTAAAAACATCAATAACTACCGTAGCCGACTCACAGAGAGTGGATAAAAAGGGTCAATGGATGTCACCAACTTCTGAATTGAGTGCACGTGAACGCACCCCTTTAGGTTTTGGGTACAATTGCAAGCGAGGAAACTCAAACGTAGGATGGCAAATGGCTTACGCAATAACTGCCAACAGTAGTAGGCAGCGAAGGCTACAGAGATAGAAAAGGTAACAGCGATGGGTACACAGGACGGCTTTGTAAATCAATTAAGGAAACGGTAGAAAAGGTCAATGATTAGTGAAATGGTAAAGACGAAAGATAAATCTGCGAATCACTCGCAGAGGAGTTGAATGGTGTGATGGGCAGAACAATTATCCAGACTTTGGGCTACGATTTCATTACTTGCTATCCAGTTGGATCCTGAATGGGACATTGAAGTAAGACTCGTAACACTTACAGAAATCGAGAAAGCTGTAATATTATGGAAGGAGGAAGGGTAGCTGGGCCTTTAGGCTTGTCCTCAGGAAGATTTAAGGGTGGTTGTTGCGGATGGCTGGTCAGATGAATTGAACTATTAGTAGGTGTATAGGAGCCGAACATGATCACCTTTGACTGTGCTCAGTCGCTGTCCCATTCTTCAAGAAAGGTGAGAAGTTCTCTTGTGATAACCACAAGAGAATCAACCAAACGAACGTAACGTCTGAGATTCTAGGTTCTATGATTACCAGACGTGTATATGGGGATCGGAAACAGCGAACCCGAGAAAATCAGAAAGGTATCAAGCTAGGTCGTGTGTTTATCGACGAGGAATTCTCCCTCCGCTAAGTTCTGTGAACAGGCACACTTACCGACACATGTCATGGTTTATAATTCCCGATCCGAAGGCAGTATTCAAGTCCATCGTTTTGGAGGTCTTATGACAGTGTCTCTCAATGAAAAGGATGCCGAGTAAGTGCACAACTCTTTTGAGGGCTGTGTACTAAAAGACTCGTGGGTGGGCTAGAGCCTATAGTGAGTTGCGTACGTCGAGTGATATCTGTCAAGAATGTCTTCCCTTTGAATTCTCATTCCACTTTATCACTGACGTACTAATGGACGTTTCCATCTCGTTGTGTGACTTCGTTGGAAAATCTTTGATTTGCTTAGAGTACGTAGATGAAACGGTTCTCTTGGTTGTATTGTGTTCTCTGAGCTGGGTTGTTTAATCGTGAAGTTTTCATCGTCTTTCTAGACGACATCATCAGCACTAACTTCAGTATGAACTTCATACTTAAGTTAGTGCTGATGATGTCGTCTAGAAAGACGATGAAAACTTCACGATTAAATAGCTGTTCTGTTAAGTTCCATTCCTTTTAAAACTAGAGATATTTCTAAATTTCTTTATTCAAGATAATAGGTATTTTCTTAAATATTTGTGCTTGGAAAATTCCTTCGATTATATAAAGCATTTTACTTTCAACTGATTTCAGACAGACAATGCACAGGAATACGTAGCTAATTCGCCTTAGTTTGAAAGTATTTAACCATCACGGATGCTGGTAGATAATACTGAATATTGATCCTTGTATACCAGGAACCTGATCAATACAGTTCACTGAATTCATGCTTAGAAGTTAATGTCAATGTTTGGGACATGGTGAAGATTCTTAAGCTGAAAAAAGAAAAAATGCCCAATACTACTGGTTTTGATTGTTCACTTTCCTGAGGATTTATACCAACGATGTTATCGATGCATGAATTTTCAATTAATTTGTGACTAAATTACCAGTTTGGTTCGGAGAGGGTGAAGTGAAAGTGGTGACAAGTTCAATCCTAGCACACCTAGTTGACACACGGCACCACATACATGCTAATAAAGCTATCAATATCATTCATTGTATTCCGAAAACAATGTCACATGTAGCTCCTCAACGCCTGCTCAACATGGCAGAGGCTTTCTCTCAATAGGATTGATCAAACCTGAACTCACCATTCAGAAAGAAAACGCCATTTTATCCATTATCTTTCACTTTCATATCATTCTTCTGTATATGTATCATCCCAATAGTGAAAAGTGAAAAACAGGAGAAGTTAGTTTCCTTATAGTCAACCTTCAGTCCTTCAACCCTACAGTCCTTCAACCTCGCCGTATTTTGAAAATGTATCCACCCCTAATTTGGCTTGATTTCACTCTGTACAAATCCATTTTATAATTATAGAATCTGAAGAGAATTGATTGGAAAGAATACTCTCCGTTCAGATTGTTGCTTTCATTATTTGTTGACAGGTTAATTATGTGGTAATCTTGAGAAGAAATACTGTACTTTACATGGAAATTTTCAAGATTTATGTACAAAGAATGTGATATTATTGAAATCATGATTGCTTTAACTTTGTTTCGCTTTTCATAACTGATAAACATATATGACACCTTAAATTATGCAAATAACATAATTGACTTTCATTTCGCAATATTATCAGTGGTGGTAGTAGCATGCCATGATGCCTTCTTGTTTAGTTATACATAGACTGTAGTAAAACAACAGTCAAACTATACAGAATGAAGAAGACTAAATGTCGATCATATGATAATAGAGAAACGGGAACAAAAATAGGCGTGAGGAAAAAAAAGTTAAAGGAATTCACCTTCATGATTATTTTTTAATTCCTTAAAATATTTTACTTCTTTGTTATGCAGTAATCTTGTTTTTATCGGTTTCATCGTCATATCGGCTATTTCAGTAGTGTAACAATGTCTATGATTGTTGGTCAGAAATATATCATTAGACCTTGTCCATACAACAGGGGGCTGAAATTGTCGGAACGATGCAGATGACAATGCAAATGTTGATGAGGATGGTGTGAAAGAAGCATATGAAGTGGAGGGGAAGGAAGAAGAAGTAGTATTCGTATTGTTACAATAAGAGAACATTTTCGATGTTGGTCGACACGATGATAATGGTGATGATGATGATGATGATGATAGCGATATGTTAACTGAAGTTGGAATGGCAATATTTTGTTCACTTTCTCCATCAAAACGAACTTCAGTTGATTGATTTACTTTTATCGGCCTAGAATGTACACAGTCATTGATAAAGTTTGCATCTTCAATAGAATCACACATGTATGTATTGATGGAAGTTGGTTGATGATGCCTTTCTGTCAGCGTTTCACTTGGATGACAGCAATAAAAGTAATCTTGCAATAAATATCCATGTTCCCTTATACTTTCACTCTGACTTTGTGAGTAAATCACATTTGAACCAGTACTAGTATCCTGATTTTCATAATTCTGTGGATAATATTGGTTGTGATGATGATAACGATGACAATGATAATTATGATTTCGGTGGTGTTCATCACAGATAAATTTTAAAGGCTCATCATATTGTATAGGATCTGGATAGAGAATATGCTGACTGGGAAGAGGAAGTGGTGATTGCAACAGACCAAGTCTACTTTTCATTTTATTGCATACATAGTACTCTTTTAAGTAGTTCTTTTTACCCATTACATAGCCGCATATTATACTAAATGGTATACATATAATTAGAATTGATAATATAAGAACAAAATAAATATATAGCTATGCAATAATTTCTGATTATTATTTCTAAAGGTAATACTATCATCATTTTCACTATAATTACCTTGGTTATCTTGATTGCTTAGTTTTGTATTTATCAGTGATGGTATTGACTGATTGGTTATTATTGACTTCAACTCATCATTGAATGATTTCATTTTATCAATTCGCCTTTCTGAAGAAATATTACTATGACTGTAAGATTTATCTAAAAAAAATTAAGTGATAACCAAATAATCCACTCTTGAGAAGAAAATATAATTTTTATTAAAATAAATTAAATACTTCTGTAATAGTTCATGAAAATTCAAACAGGAATAAATAAGAATTTCTTATTATTCTAGAAGTGATTATCAGATAACGTCTTTTCGAATAAAAAAAAACCTGAATTTTATACTTCAAGAAAATTACAGTGCAGAGAGTTAGTGACTAATACTTTGATTAGTGATATAAAATTATAATTTCCTGACCCTGTTAGTACTTATTTTCATGGATGCTTACCTCCCGACTGATAGCTGCTACCTTGACGTGGTGGTTGGGCTTGCATATCATAATGACCCAACGAGCTATGCTGGTGGAACGCTTGTTCCCTCGAGGTCCTACCATACCAGAAAGGTCTGTTGGATAGTGGTTAGACGAAAAGCAGTTACTGTTGTGGTGTAAATTACTACACTATGATGGAGGTCTGAGGGCTAATTCGTACTGCTGCTAGCTGGATGGTGTGTGACAGCAGTAAGGTGTTTCCCTTGGTTGACCAGCAGTGCCATGCTGATGCTGCCTTCTCAATGGAAGGGGGGGGGGTTAGAAAGGGTCGACCCCAAAAATAACACACTCCACCATGCCCCACGGTCTGCCGGGCTGGCGGTGTTGGTTCACTTGTCGTCTCCTTTCGACCATCCGGCCCCAAAAATACAAAAGTTCAAAATAATCAATAAATAATCAATAAAAGGCTTCGTGTGACAGGCCTCAAGCAGATGTCCGATGGGCTCTGTGGTCACACAAATCTCTTTCAGGTACCTTAAGAAGAAATAGCCTTCCACGGTGTGGGCAGCCAGGAAGTGTCAGTCGCCCTCACAACTCTGTCAGCACTCAAGTTTCTTCTGACTGCCATCCGCCTCCTCCATCATTACCTTCTAATCTTCCTTCTCGTCTCTCAATTAACGACGCTGCATCATCTTCAATTTCTCCTACCTCTGCAGCCTTCGACAACGATCTGAGTCCACAGAACAGCATTACTGGTCTCCTTAAACCACGCTGCAAATTACATATTGGAGCCTTCAATGTCCATACCCTCAGTCAAATTGGTCAACAGGCTTCATTAGCCAAGACTCTGGCAACTCGGACCATGGATGTGTGCTGTGTTTTTGGAGTTTCTGGAGATTCGATAGCTAGCTCTCGTGGTCTTGCAGGTGTAGGTATAGCATTAAGCACCAGGGCAGAAAACTCACTACTAGACTGGATCCCAGTTGATAGTCGCCTCTGCGCTATGAGGCTGAACGGCACAGTGAGAACTAAAAGGAATAGTGAGACTCGCCGTTGTCTCTTTGTAATCTCTGCTTACGCACCCACTGACTGCAGTTCGGATGAAGTGAAGGACGAGTTCTACCATAAACTGTCTAACCTCCTCTCGAAAGCCAAACGTTCGGACGTAGTGGTTGTTGCAGGTGACCTCAACGCACAGGTGGGTAGACTGAGTGAGGCAGAAAGGCACTTAGGTGGCACTTTCGGAATCCCAGCTGAACGTACAGATAACGGTGATCGCCTATTACAACTATGCTCAGATAACCGCCTATTTTTAGCCAGCACAAATTTCAGACATAAAGAAAGGCACTGTCTGACCTGGCGTCCACCGAGCTCGACTCAGCGATGGACACAGATAGACCACATTGCTATTAGTCATCGCTGGAGAGGATCGGTGGAAGACTGCCGCTCCTTCTGGAGTACGTGTTTGGACAGCGATCATGCGTTGGTCCGAGCACGTATATGCCTGCGTCTCAATGGACGTAGAAAAAATTTGGCAACAAAACCACTACGAGTTCTGCTGGACAACGAAAACACCAAAGCCGTGTTCAGTGAGAAGTTGGCTAGGCAGTTATCGGAACAAAAGACTGTCACTCATCCAGAAGAAGCTTGGTGCCATCTTCAGTCTACTGTAAAAGCAGCACTGAAGACTGTAGCCGACTCCAAAATAATGGCTAAAAAGAGCCAGTGGATATCAGCAGCTTCTTCCAAACTAATGGATGCACGTGAATGCATCCCTGCAGGCTCTGAGTACAATGAAGAGCGAGCGCAACTTAAAAATAACTGACGAAAAGTCTGCGCAACGATCGTGAACAGTGGTGGGCAGCGAAGGCTAAAGAGATGGAAAAGGCAGCGGCGATCGGTAACAGTAGACAGTTATTTAGACTTATTAAGGAGACTGGGGGGAAATGGTCAACAACAGTTAGTGAGGCTATAGCGGAGAAGGACGGATCTGCGATTCACTCGCAGGGAGACGACTGGAACGATGGGCAGAACACTTGAGGAACAGTTTAACTGGCCTCCAGCCACCATTGCGTTGCCCGCTATCCAGCCAACCCTGAATGGGACATAGAGACAGGCCCCCCAACACTAGAAGAAGTTGAGAAAGCGGTAGGTAGCCTGAAACGAAGAAGGGCAGGAGGACCAGACGGACTACCTGCTGAGGTATACAAGAATGGTGGTAGAGTGTCTTAGTCAGGTTAACGGAAGTGTTAGCCAGTATATGGGAATCAAATACGATCCCCTCCGACTGGTCTAAGTCACCGATCATCCCAGTCTTCAAGAAAGGCGAGAAGTCCTCTTGTGATAACCACAGAGGAATCAGCCTGACGAACATAGCATCTGTAATCCTAGGTTCTATAATTCTCCGACGCCTGAGTGGAGCTCGGGAACAGCAAGCCCGAGAAAACCAGGCAGGCTTTAGACCTGGCCGTGGATGTATCGACCAAATATTCACACTGCGCCAGGTCCTGGAACATAGGCATGCTTACAGACGCCCGACAATAGCTGTATTTCTCGACCTGAAGGCGGCATTTGACTCCGTTGATCGAGAAGTCTTATGGCAGTGTCTGTCACTGAAAGGCGTGCCTAGTAAGTACATCACCTTATTGAAAGCTCTCTACTCGAACACTTGTGGGCATGTTAGAGCCTATGGTGAGTTGTCCAGGGAGCTATACTCATCAAGTGGTGTCCGTCAAGGATGCCCACTATCCCCATTCTTATTTAATTTTATCATAGATATTCTTATGGAGGTTTCCCTCTCGTCACCTAATTACAAAGACGTTGACCCAATCACAGGTGAATTTTCTTTAGATCTAGAATATGCAGATGACATAGTCCTGTTAGGTGAAGACGCTGACAAGATGCAGAGTCTTCTGAACACTTTGAGTGGGAATTTGAGAATGTTTGGGATGCGATTTTCACCACCCAAATGCAAATTTTTGCTCCAGGACTGGTCTTCAGCGGTACCGCGGTTAACAATAGAGAGTGAAGTGGTTGAGTGTGTTGACCACTTCACTTACCTGGGAAGTAGGATCAACCCGGTGGGTTAGTTGCCGATGAGATTTCTGCACGGATACAAAAGGCTCGATTGGCTTTTGCCAATTTGCGCCACCTATGGCGCCGCCGTGATATTCGTTTGTCTATTAAGGGTCGCGTGTACTGCACAGCAGTCCGCTCTGTTCTACTGTATGGCTGTGAAACATGGCCATTGAAAGTGGAAGATATAAAAAAGCTTCAGGTGTTTGACCACCGTTGCCTTCGTAGTATAGGACGTATTCCGTGGTGTCACCATGTGAGTAATGCAGAAGTTAGGTGTAGAGTTTTAGGGAGAAGAGGTAAGTCAGTCGACGAGGTTGTGAACCTTCATCGACTGAGATGGTTGGGACACGTACTACGTATGCCTAGTCACCGATTGCCTCGTCACACAATGTTGGCTGAGGTGGGTCCAGGCTGGAAAAAGGCCCGAGGTGGCCAGACTAAAACATGGCACCAATGTATGAAGTCTCTGACTGTTGGTTTAAGCCATGTAGGACGATGCAGACTAGGTGGTTGGGGTCCACGGGACAAGAGGAACCAGTGGTTGGAGACCCTAGGTGATATGGCTCAGAACCGAAGTCAGTGGCGCAGATGTATACACACATTATCCTCATCTTAACAACGCTATACCGAATCTCACATTTTGTCACTCCTCTTTCCTTTCTTCTCGTACTTTATATTTCTTTTGACTGCATTCACTTATCTTCATCCTTCACCTCACTACCTTTTTACTTGATGTGCTGATATGAGGTGTGGCAACTCGGACCGTTACGCAGTAATGCCTGGTCCTATGTTGATAATGATGATGATAGATGGTTACCTAGACCTAATAATTAATTACAGTTTCATGAAGTCTTCATGAATTCTATTTATGAATTGAGTCTATTCTGACTGCGATATGTTTATCATAATTCCCATTATGGTCCTGTACTAATTATTGTATGATATCAGTGAGTAGAATTTTTGACATCTGTTAATGTGTATTTTGGCACTGCTCAGTATTTAGAAACCGCTCCTAAAAGAAGTCATAAAAAGTACTAACTCTAAGAGAGAATACTACTTGGATGACAACTGAAAAGTTGATAGCCAATAGGATCTAGCTAATTTGTTGTTAATTCCATTTCTGTTGCCACATTGTCTTCATAATCAGTGCGTTCAGATTATATAGTAAGAATAGTTTGTTGTATTACGCCACTAAATAGCAGCAAAAGTCTTCAGTTCCTTCAACTATAAGATCCACAATGGTCACAAGTATTATTGACCGTACTCCGTGGTGCCACCATGTGAGCAACTCAGAAGTCGGGTGTAGAGTTTTGATGAGAAAAGGTAAATCAGTTGGAATGCTTGTGAACTGTTATCGACTGAGATGGTTGGGACACGTGTTACATATGCCTTGTCATCGATTGCCCCGTCACACAACGTTGGCCGAAGCAAATTCAGGCTGGAAAAAGATCCGAGGCCACCAGACTAAAACATGGCATCAATGTATGAAGTCTCTGACTGTTGTTTTGAGCCACGTAAGCCGATGTAGATTGGGTGGTTGGGGTTGGTGGGACAAGAGGAACCAGTAGTTGGAGACTAGGTGATATGGCTGAGAACCGAAGTCAGTGGCTCAGATGTATGCACACACATTATCCCCATTTTAACGCTATATCGAATCTCACCATTTTCTCATTCTTCCTTCCTCTCTTTTCATACTTACTATTTCTTTTGACTAAATTTTCTTATCTTCATCTTGCACTTCACTACTTTTTTCCTTGATGTACTGATATGAGCTGTGGCAAATGGGACCGTTACGAAGTAATGCCTTGTCTTATGTTGACTTGGATGTATGGATGGACACTTAGCGGTGAACCTATCCATTATCTTTGATGTCATGGAATAAGAATCACAAGTTATCGTTTTCAGATTTTGATGATTAATGATATTTTCTTTTCCGTGATCATTAGTTTTCGATGGTTATCTCTGCAATTACAACTACTTGTTCACGTCTATAACATTATCATCAGGCTGTTAGTAAACAGTATTTTACAAGTATTATCAACTTTGAAATGGTTACATGCTCAAAACAACAATCTGAACAAAGAAGAATTTTTTTTTCAATAAATCCTCATCAGTTCCATTTTCGTCTGTTTATAAGAAATGTCACACAGTGAAACTATTATTCGCTGGATAACATTTCTTAAATAGTTTATTATCCATCTTTGTATCACCTAATTTTTAATGAATGGACTAAAATAGAATTACAGTCTACTACAGTGCTAAAATTCTACTCGTTTATAAATTCTCATCAAGTTTTACAATTATAAAATGCATTTGTACAGCGTGAAATCAAGCCTAGTTAGCAGCTAATATATTCTCATAATAGAGTTAGGTTGAAGTACTGTAAAGAAATCGACTTTTCTTCTTTTTAATTTGTCACTATTGAGATGACATGTATATATAGATGAATGATTCGATGGTGAACGAAAAGGCAACAAATGAAGAAGACAGGAGTGACCTTTAGTTTACCGAAGGTCAAGAGGGGGAGTGAATGAACAGTTCAAGCTTGATCAACCTTTTATCTACAGCCTTTGCTATGTTGAGCAACCGTTAACAAGTTATACTTAGTATTGTTTTCGGAATATGATGCATGATATTGAAAGCTTTATTAGCATCTATATGTTACCCTGTGGCTACTAAGTGCACTAGGACGCAGCATTCCACCACTTTCATTCCTCATTATCTTTGATAACCTTTTTGATCACCAATTTACGTCATTTTATGCTGGTTGTACTTCTTTTAACCACAGTTATAATATTTTCATTTATAGCTTATGGAGACGATGTGACTGATCAACCAGAGCAATACATAATCTTCTGACGTAAGTAAAAATAAACAAACTGAAACACTAATCAACATCAGTTAAATAAAAGCAGATGAATGTAAATTAGGAGGTTAAAAAAGGTATTAACTTGATCATGAAGCAACTATCGGTAAGTGAGAAAAGTTATATTAGTCCCTAAGGAAGTTCTAAAGACTTAATTAAACTCTTACAAAAAAGACAATTTATTCTGAAGAAGTTGTCTATCAATCCTGTCATAATTATCGGCATTTTCTGCAGTTTTGTATTACATAACACTGTTTGGTTCATCATTTTAACATTACACTTACACCATCAATAAATTTGAACATGTTCTCCTATTGTTATCATTCTCGCTGTATTAAATAATAATAATATAACAAATAAAAACTTACTTATTATATGACTGAGTGAATTCTGTTTTGGTTGATTAGTTAAGAGTTCATCAGTACAAAAGTGATATAAATTTGGATCCATTGTATTTAGATAAGAATATGAGGAGCTAAAATGAAATATATATATATATATATATATAAATATTCTTTTAAATAGATGCTCTATTTTAAGAATTATTTTATTTGTATGTACTCGAAATGGATTTTTAAACACAGTATGTTTTAGATTTATGCTGCCAGTTACGTTGGGCGCTGCTATAGGGATTTAATTTCGGTTGTATTATATTCTCTAAACTGGGTTGTTTTTAATCGTGAATCTTTCATCGCCTTGCTAGACGATATCATCAGCAGTAACTTCATACTGTATATATCCCTTCATCACAATAATCTGAAATAATTTTAACAAATTCTCTTGACGTGTTTTCTCCACCAACATCCTATTAACCTATTATTTCTTTCTTGGCTTATTTCATCAAACTCTTATAAATACCTTTTGATTGTTAGATTAAACTATCACCTTATAGTATTACCTGTGCCGTATATTCGTTTAGATAATCAGTCGTTTGGAGTTGGATTTCAGTGACAATTAATTGTATCTTTATTGTTCACACAAGACTTTTCTGAATTGACTTCATCAACTGTATAATATTCTTAATAAATTGATAAGGGGAACCTTGATATTGTTGACGCATAATTCACCAGTATGTATATATAACTTTAAGACTAAATGAAAAAAACTTATTAAGATTGTGATAGTGGATATCCTTGATAAAAAACTTCAAATGAGTACACATATCATAAAATTGTTGTCTTGTATCATTCACTAGTCAAAATTTGACTGATGGGCAGTGCCGATTTTCAACTAACTTCTACCAAGTGAGCGTTAGCGATAAACAATCGGTACTCAAAACTCAGTAGAAAAGTTTTTTTTCTTAGCAACTTCTAATGACTTTAAACTGTTATATTTTCCTGATTTTATCATTAAAAAATTAACTTCTCTTTATTTCGCGGAATTGTTTCAGTTCAATACTGAAATTATGAAGGTTTTTAATTCGTTTCTTTTTCTAAAAACATAAATTTCAGTTCTACCCGTATTCCTTTTTTAAACTAAACTTAGTTTCACATATTTTTCACTTCATTACTAAGAGTGAAAGTTATACTACATATTGACTACTTAATCTAGTTGCCTTCAAGTTGTTATTCTTCAGCGACTGACAAGTTTGAGAACCACTGTAAACCTGAGAGCACTGGCCAGCTCATTCGTCCTAGTATTTAACTTTTAGCAATGCGCGTTCACGACCCTGCCAGGGAACGGACCCAAAACCCTCAGGTTTCATGGCCATCATGTTATCTACTTTGGAATCCAGTGGTCCATATTTTATACTTCTGTCGGTTCATGATGTAATGTGACCTCCATTTAATTGTATTTTTACGTAACTGATTCTTAAATCTAATTATTTGGATGATACACTTGGTTCACTCACAATTCTAACCATAAATAAAAATTACCTAATTCTACTTACTGTTAATCTAAGCATACATTTGACTCAGTTTTAACGTGTATATTTGGAAGGAGAATATTATTTAGTTATGCAACAAACTTAACTGAAAGAGAACTAACAATTTCCTGACTTACAGTTGAACTACTTGATTTTCAAGAGTCTTTAAAAACCATGTTCACAACAAAACTTTGACTTAAACTTTTACAGTTTAACCATAGTTTATTTCAATAGTTTAGTAACGTCTAATTTATCTCTGACCAAATGTATGTGTAATTACATGTTACATAGAAATGTAACTAGTGCGTTGAACAAATATAGGCAATTATAACTTGATATCACATTCAGTTCTAATTATCCGGAGGATAAATTCCCAATAAACAAACACATGAAATGAATATTTTGTTTCCATGATAACAGAAGTGTACCGTGCTTCTGTAGTGAATTTCAGTGAACCCTTTTGTCGTCAAACAGGAAACTCTGTCATGCTGTAGTTACGAATTCACTTAACCAAAGTAATCACCTATCGTCAACTTGTAGACTGTTTGTGAGGTCTACATAGTGCAAGGATTTTAGGATAAGTGACTGACAAGATAAACGTAGAAACAAGCATACAGTTTGGTCTACTCAAGTTACCACACTTTACAGAAGTACACAAAGAAGAAGTGGTTAGAAAAAGTCACATCAAAGTTGTGTGAGAGAATAAAGGTTAGTCCAAATATTCAAGCTCTAGAAGACGTTGAAGAGTGAATACATCGGAGTCATTAGGATCGATTTTTAGCCATTAGAACTAGAACCTACATTTCCCCAGTAGTCAGAGACTCCATTGACTAGTGCCATGTCTTGGACTGGACACCCTGAAGTTCCTTCAAATCTGATCCAACTTCCCTAGCATGTCACGTCTAGGTGGATAGTGACTCGGGATGTGCAGGGCATGTTCAAACCTTCTCACACCATGAAAGTTCACGACCTCATCAATTGACTTGCCTATCTTGTCTAATACACTTCATCTGACGTCGATGCTGCTCAAATGGCGATTCAAACACGTACGGGCAATGCTACGAAGATGCCTGTAACTGTTTCGTGGCTTCTAATTTTAATGGCCATGTTTCATAGCCGTTTAACAGGGCAGAACTGACTGCAGTACAGCATACTCGTCATTTGATGCATAGTGGGATATCTCGCCAGTTGGTGTCACAGGTGACGCAAGTTTGAAAATGCCAAACGAGTTTTCTGTGCCTGTAAATTAGATTTTGTCAGCCACCATCCCGTTCGAGCTGACGCAACTCCCCAAGTAGGTGAAAAGGTCAACTCATTCCGCTGCTTCACTCCTCATCAATAAACTAGGAGTAATCACATCAAACCAATCCTGAAGTATCGCATTACATTTGATAGCATTAGTGACGTTTTACTTGTTAGGTTGGTATGCAAAGCGGAAAGATCGGTTATCCAAATTTACTATAGTTGATGAAATTATGAGTTTCAGATTTGAGTTTGAATAGGGAAATTAATGTAATAGAATTAGGATGGACTCATTTTATCAACTTTTGATTACAAAACACTGCACTTACCTATTCCTCCATTGCTTATCATCAGTATATTAGCAAATCTTTTTCTAATTGCATCACTAGATAAAAACGGTTGTTTCGGTGTTTTTTTTATGTAGCCTGAATGAGAGCTTTATGAGCGAGAAAAACTTTTCGTGAGGTAGCATCCAGGTGGTCAAACAATATGAAAATCTAAATATTGATGTTAATTAGATTTCTAGTGGATTGAATCATTCAGTACTCTTAAGTGAAAAAAAAGGTTAGAAAAACTTTCCAGATTTTATGATGTTTGCTGAGCAAATTTTTTCACCTATGTATTAGAGAAACTTTTATTCTTTTCAGTAGGGTTATATATTTCATTTTGTACTGCGAAATAGGCATTCTAAATATTCGCCATAATTTTAACCTGATGCACAAAAAGGATTTGAAAATAACTTCTTGAACGATTTATCAGACTAATATACTGATGAGATTCCAGTAAAGAGCAAATTTCTGATGTTTCATAACCTTATAGAAGTCAATTCTTTAGATAATTGATTATTCATGATAGTTTAGATATTGCTTTTTATGTCACAGAACATTTTTATAGTTCATAAAAACAAAAGCACTTATATGTTGCTAGGGGATGTACGGTGAAAATGGTCCTGTCTTTGAAAACTTAGATTCACAATAAACCACCAGAACCGACCGACTTCAAACTTACTAGGTCACTAAGACGTGACTTGACATATTAGAACCGGTCAATATATAGGCGTAGATTTACTTGAGTTGGATTATGTCAATCACTGAATTTCAGTTCGATGTAGATGAGGTTACCCTAAGAGGTGATGGTCTTAGACTCAATGTCTCAACAAGTTTCAGGTGTACATTTGTGAGGAGTTTCAATCTGAGATAAAATAGCTATCAGTAGTTCCCTGGTTGATAACAGTTTGTGATTGAAAGTACTTTGAAATTCAAACTATTTTGACTTGTAATATCGCCTATATCTTTGCTGTTAATATGAAAATAACTTGAAGACAAAGTATTCTAATACACAACCAAGTGATCGGCGTGTTTTAAATCTTATAAACTGAATTGTTTATAAAAGTTGACAATTAGAACTGCAGAGTTCGTTCACTGAGACATTAGACAATATTAATAAGAAGAAGAATGTAAACTTACTGACGTAGTAAACAGCTATTTAATGTGACATTTAATTCACATGAGTGATCATTGAATGACTGACATTTTCTAAATGCAAAAGAATAGTGGTTGAAATTCAGTTAGTCAAATAATAACGTTTCAATTAAGAAAACACAGACTAATTAGAAGACATCTTAATTAAATTTTAGGTTTAAAATTAAAGGCTAAAAATAAAAATCAGTTAGTGTTCTCCATGTGTTCCTAAATACTTAGTTATCTACTAATTATACATAGGCGTTACACGCATTACATTACTTACTGTTCATCCCTGTTGTCTTACAATGTTTTAAAAAAATTCAGTTATAGCTTCAAGTGAATGATTTACCTTTAGTAGACAATCGTCATTGAGTCATTCCAAATTATTTTATCATGATCAAACTTCATTTATAAAAAGTTTTATTTGTCATTACTGCACTGAATACATTTTGCAATATGAAAAAATTACTACAGTTTTCGGATAACTGCAAAGATTATCAATTACTATATTCACTTGACACGAAATATAATATTTCTTAATAAATTTAACTAATGAATACTTCAATAATAAATACATAACATTGAGTGTATATGAAAAAAAATGCAACTAGAAATATTTCTTGAAGAATGCTTTGATCGCAGTTTGTTTGATCATTTCCAGTGTGTTAATCAACAGTATTTGCCTAAATGTGTTAATGTATAATTTTCTTACATATAACATGTAAAACGTGCTTATAAAAAATGTAGTGGTAAGAAAACGGCTCGGTGGTGTAGTGAAAGACGTTCTGGCTTTTGAAGCGATCGCCCCCGGGTCCGAATCTCGGTGGAAACAACATCACTCACTGGGAGGCGGGTACATCCAGCTGACGAGTCCCAAATAGGACAAAATGCTCATCCTGGGTTCTACTGATAGCCACTGCCCATCATTACTATACATAAGTAAGAAAACAGTTGTTATAAATTATTCAACTGAAGCCAATCAAATCACTGATCAGCCAAAGGATTAAGGAATCTAGAATCCATTTTGATTACTTCATAAGATTGACAAAATCAAAGTAAAATCTCGCACACAAGTTCATTGGTTCAAGTTGTCACATTTCACAGTAGTATACAAAGAACAGGTGGATTTGCAAGGACTGATATCAAAGTAGACAAAGTTGAGTGAAAGAATAAACATCCGAAGATGAAGGTTAGTGTGAATATTCAAGCTTGAGAAAATGTAATCTGGAGGCTTGTGGGGATTCTATTGAACTCAGGTTGGTATTCATCCTCGACTGACATTAGTTGAAGAACCACTCAAAATTTGGAAGCGCTGGACAGCTGTTTCGTTCCAGTGTATGACTCCTTAGTAGTACGCACCCATGACCTCACCAGGGATAGAACCCAGAGCCTTCAGGTTCCGTAGCCATCACGTTACCACTGAGCAACTGGGCCGGAGGATATCAAGGATTGAATACATCTGCGTCATTGTGACCAACGTTCAGCCGTGTAACCAAAAGTCCCCAACCACTGATTCCTTTGATCTAGAGGACCCTAACCAAGCAGTATACATCTCCCTACTAGGCTCAGACCAACAGTAGGAAACTTTATGGAGTGGTGCCACGTCCTGGTCTGACCACCCTGGACTCTCTTCCAACCTAGCCCAGCTTCTCTTTAGAATGGCACGTCGAGGTAGGTGGTGACTTGGCATACGGAAAGCATGTCTAAGCCTTTCCAGTCGATAAGGGTTCACAACCTCATCATTTGACTTACCTAGTGCTCTTCGCCTGATTTCAACATTACTGACACAGTGATTCAGTGGTACGTGAGCGATCCCACGAAGACATCTGTGATAATATATATATATATATATATATATATATATATATATATATATATATATATATATATATATATATATATATAATTAGGCTGGTTATATGTGGTGATGACTGAAATATGCATACGCTTTTTAAAATTTATTAGTATTAAGGTCGAGAGATGGAATTAATTTCGGTAAAATAATAATAGTATGAGTTGCATGAAGGAGTGTAGATTATCTGGCTTGAATTTATTGAGGTGCTTTGCAGTTATGACTCCAAATACCGGAGAAAATAGTCTCAAACAGATTGAGCCGGTGAGCATGCATTTATTTCTATCATTCCTCCGAATCCTGATCACCAGTTGGCTCCTTATTCATCTTTTTTCTGTCAACATACTATATTACATTGGTATCTTTTTGCCTTCATTTCGAATTTCCGCACATTTGTTCTACATTCCGTTTGTAGAAAACTTTTTGTTATCTACTCACAATCCATGTATATACAAATTTATTTATCAAGGAATTAGAAACTATTGAAAGGAACAAAAAGCAGGTCAGCAAAGCCCACTACACTCGTCACCTCGTCAAAATTTTGGGCTTGCAACCGTGATGATCGTCTTGGTGCTGTTTCTTCTTGGTGTTCATGCAAAGTTTCATCTTTTTTCAATCACTTCCGTTTTTTAGGTAGGCTGGCGTTAACTCTTTTCTCCTTGTCCCCATTTTTTGATGGTATAAACTGAACCACGTCTCTCGGTAATGATTTATGGTCCTTCCCACTTCGGGAGTAGTTTCCTTCTGCCATGTTCACCTCCTAGTGTATACCCTCGTTCTTTACATTTCACCCGATCTCTGACCTCAAACGATTTCCATTTACTTCCTTCTTTCTGCTCAGATTTTCTAGCATCAGCTTTCTGCTCATTTCCGCTCATTTCTCAATCTAGTCATGTTCCATGTCTGTTGTTGGGGTCAGGTCTTAATATGTATAGAGAGCCGTGGTTTCCTGCCATACATCAACTGGAACGACGACTTCTTGGTTGTTTCTTGTACCGAGGCACGATGAGCTAATAATATTAACGGCAGTTCCTTCTCCCAACTTTCTCCTTTCGAAGCCAACTACTCCTTAAGTTTACGGTTATTACGTTCCATCAAACCGTTAGTTTGAGGGTGGTACGGCGTCGTCCTTATCCTCTTGATATCAAGCCACTCCAAACAAGATTTGAATTCTTCACTCTCAAAACAAGGTCCTTGGTCGGTCAGTATCATTTTCCGCACACCGTGATCTGCGACAATATGCCGCATCACGCCGCAGTCACTGTGTTCGCTCTTTAGTCCGGATTTGCGACAGCATCTGCCCATCGTGTAGCATGCTCTGTCGTCACTAACAAGTATTGACTGACACTAGATGTCTGCGGAAATGGTCCCATTACGCCCAAAGACCACAGGTCACCGGCTGCCTCCTTTGGAATCGACTGAAGCGTATTTCGTACATACCTATCACTTTTTATCAGTTGTCAATGAGGACAAACCAGCACTTGTTTGGCAACATCTCTCATACCTGGCCAGTATGCACTTTGTCTGAGAAGGTCAGCTGTCCGTGAGACACCTGTATGAACTAACTGGTGGCATTCTTGTGTCATTTTATCTTGTAGACATTTCGGAATCACTGCCAATCAGTTCCCGTCATTTTGTTGCCACGTCAGCATTCCATAATTGGGCGTTCTTTCTGCGTCGACAACTTTCTAAACTCTATTTTCCACGGACGTTTGTGTCTCCGTTCCTTCAGTTGTGGCTTTTATCACTTCTTTAAGTGTCAGGTCCGACTTCTGAAGGCGAATTAGTCTTAGTGGGTCCCGTTCCACTGCATTTACACCATATGCAATCCCAGGTAGCTCATTTTCTTCGTCAGATCTTGATAAAAAGTCTGCCAACCAGTTTTCTTTCCCTGCCACATGGCCGATGGTGAAGTCATATTCTTGCAGTTGTAACACCCAACGTGATAATTTCCCTCTGGGGTCTCTCGTTGTCTCAAGCCACTGGAGAGGTTTATGATCCGTTTCAATATGGAATCGTTGACCGAGGAGGTACGGTCTCCATTCCTTAAGTGCCCAAACTATCGTCAGACATTCCTTTCCAACTGTAGAATATTTCTGTTCTGCGGGTATTAGAACGCGGCTGGCATATTCCACTACTCCTTCAGTCTGTCTCAGGACTGCCCCTATTCCATAATCACTTGCATCGGTGGACACGATAAATAGCCTACCAGGTGTTGGTAGTTTTAACGTCATCTCCTGGTCATTTAGGAGTTCTTTGATGTGATCAAATGTTTTTTGTGCCTCCGTCCACACAAATTTGGGGTTGCTCAGTAGCTTATATAACGGTGCTGCTATCTCATTGAAATTTTTGAGGAACCGACTGTAGAATGCCGCTCTACCCAAGAATTGTCGCAGTTTCCTCTTGGAATTCGGCACTGGAATGGTTCTGACTGTCAGAATTTTCTCGCGTAGTGGTTTTATTTCGCCGTTTCCAACTTTGTGTCCCAGCAACGTAACACTCCTCTTGGCTACTTGAGATTTTATCTTATTGATGAGGAGTCCAAACTCATCGGTACATCTCAAAACAGCTTCAAGGTATTCTATGTGTTATGCCTTCGTCTGGCTGTACACCACCAGGTCATCGCCGTACACCTCTACGTTCTCCAAATTCTTCAGCAACAACAACATCAATCATCTAAATGTTATGGGGGTCCCTGCCAGACCAAATGGCATTCTCTTGAAATGGTATTGCTTCTTGCCCACAATAAATGCTGTTTTCTCTTTATCACTGTCTTTTATTGGTAGCTGCCAGTAGCCTGAGCAGAGGTCCAGAACTGTAAATACTTTTGGATTCTGCAAACGATCCAGTGTTTCAGCTACCGTAGGCATGGCACACGGCTTCAGATGCGTTATGCTGTTTAACCCTCGGGAATCAACGCAAAATCTATATTTCCCATTTGACTTTCTTACCGAAAGCACTGGCGAACTATATGGGCTATCAGCCTCTCCAATAATACCTTTGTTCAGCATTACTTGAACCTGGCGCGCATCTTCTTCCAACTTCTTCTTGACTAGTCACTGGGATTTCATGCTGAACCTTGTCACAGTAACTATAGGGGTCTCCATCTCCCGTGAACAATCTAATGTATTTCTTAACTACCTTCATGATGTTTGGCGCTTCTGAGTGTAGTGCTCTTGATAGCCTAATCTCTGCTACCTCGCTGTTTTCCTGCGTGATG